CTGGGAAGCGGATCACCCTGGAGAAAACCCACCCGGCCATACACACGACGTTGGTAATACTAAGTGCTCCGCACAGATGGATCCAATAATCCATTGCTGTACTGCTATCTACTGGCCATTTCGCAGGCCAAACCTGCAACGTTTTGTACTGCCGTGCAATCTCCCATCCTTGGCACCATCCAGGCTGAAGGCTGCTGAGCTTCCGAGATCCGAAGAGGCACGTTTAAGGGTGTAGCTCTTACCAGAGGCGACCATTCATCCAGGCATTAACGTGGCGAGATGTTACCTCCCTCGCCTGGCATACAAGAGGGTCGTGGGTTTGATCCCGACCCTGACGCCTGAATATTTGGAGTTTGCGTGTCTCTCTCTCTCCCCGTGGTCGCGTGGATTTTCTCTCCGGGCCCTCCGGTTTTCCCCTCCACATTTAGAGTCACGCGTTTCAGAGTATTTGGCCGTTCTACATTTCCACGTGATGATAAGCCGCCAATTTGTTGAGCTATTATTTGTGATAGCCAGGTCCCTTCTGTAAAAAAAAAAGTTACATAGCTCAGTGGGGCCTTACCTGGGGAAAAAAAAGAAGTTTTTTTTTAATTGTTCGGTGCGAGTGGCCGTCAGGGTCCGTGAGCGTGTGACTTTGAACCTCCCGCACCCAACCATCCGCTCCTTTCAATCCTCACCACCTCGTCCACTCTCACTCATTCCTCACCAGCAACATATTTTTTTTAATAACAACAAGAATAATAATACTAAATAAAGAAATGGAGACACCCAACGGGAATTTTGTGCAAAAATATCGAAGTTTAAAAAAACAAAAATCTACAAAATCTCGCTTGTAACACACACATCGTGCAGTTTGTGTGCGCGCGGGGTGGGGGTGCGGGTGTGGTGAGGGTGGTGGGGAGGAGGGGGTAGGGGACTAGGTGGTGCATGTTACGATCAATCGATTAAAAATCACCTATGGTCGATAATTTACGATTACTTTAAATTAGCAGTGCAGTGCATGCACGTGCGTGACCTTTAGCCTGGTGCCACAAACGAGAGGGACGGGGGGTGTAGACGAGGTGAACAGTGCCAACACGAACGACGTAATGGTGGACACCACGACGGAGTGGAGACCACGACGTAATGGTGGACACCACGGCATACTAGTGATCACCTTTACGTAATGGTGGAGACGTAACAGTGGAGACTACGGCGTAATAGTGGAGACCGCGACGTATTGGACACCATAATGTAACAATGGAGACTACCACGTAATCTTGGAGACCACGACGTAACAGTGGAGACCACGATGTAACAGTGGAGACCACGACGTAACAGTGGCGATCACGACGTACTAGTGGAGACCACGACGTACTAGTGGAGACCACGACGTACTAGTGGAGACCACGATGTAACAGTGGAGACCACGACGTAACAGTGGAAATCACGACGTACTAGTGGAGACCACGACGTACTAGTGGAGACCACGACGTACTAGTGGAGACCACGATGTAACAGTGGAGACCATGATGTAACAGTGGAGATCACGACGTACTAGTGGAGACCACGATGTAACAGTGGAGATCACGACGTAACAGTGGAGATCACGACGTACTAGTGGAGACCACGACGTACTAGTGGAGACCACGACGTACTAGTGGAGACCACGATGTAACAGTGGAGACCATGATGTAACAGTGGAGATCACGACGTACTAGTGGAGACCACGACGTACTAGTGGAGACCACGACGTACTAGTGGAGACCACGATGTAACAGTGGAGACCATGATGTAACAGTGGAGATCACGACGTACTAGTGGAGACCACGACGTAACAGTGGAGACCACGACGTACTAGTGGAGACTACCACGTAATCTTGGAGACCGCTCGAGTTGAGCAGTTATAAATATAACTGCTGTTAGCGAGCACTTGATGGGGTGGGTGGCCAACACCACGCCCGGCCGCCTTTGTCTCTCTCGTGGCGATGTTTACTACACACCGTACCAGGTACTCATTTGAGGCTGAGTCGACCTAAAGGGGGGGGGCCCAGGACCCGTTCAGATAATCGTCGCCGGTGTTGGCCGTGAGCGGGAATCAAAGTCGGGTCGCCGGGTTCGTAGCGCAGCGTAGCGCTAACCGTTGCGCCACCGCTCCCCACATTCAACGACACGCCGCACGTGTGTGCGTGTGAAATGATCGTGGTTGTAAAATGCGGACCAGGGTAGAGGTAGGGATCGCCATCATCATCACGATCCATGGGCAGATAAAGCCCGTTGTAGGTGTCCACTGCACATGTCGTTATTTGTTGTTTCCACTTCCCTCTGTCTTGTGCCAATCTGCCCAAGTGGTGGCCACATCTCTCTGACACCATTCTCTTCCCGTGTCGTCTTCGTCGTCTTCGTCGAGACATTCTCTGTGAGGTCTTCCTCTCTTTCCGGTCCATTCCCCTTTTTCCGAACAACAACAACAACACACTTAGAATGTTCCTGTTGTTGTCAATCCTCCTACATATGTGTCCAGGCAGTGCCCAGTTTCCTTCTCACCGCTGCCTGCATCACCATCATCACCATCAGGTCGTCTTCTCCCACGTGCCACCTTTAACTTACTTTTACGTTTGGGTCACTCTTTGGGTTCAGCAGCAGCAGTAGCAACATACTTCTGTGGCAATCCATTTCTCGTGCCAACATCCTATCTCTGTCAGTCTTTATTTATTTTTTAAATGCCCAAATCTCGCAGGAACAAAGAGCTGCAACCGAACACGCTTGTTGTCAAGACGTCCCGTTTGGCCTCGTAGCCGATTGGAGGTAGGGATGGAGATGGGGGGGGCAGTGGTCCGGCTGCTACCGAATGCGTGAATCACTCGCGCGCTCCATCCGAGGGGCCGCTGCAAACGCAACGCTCCGTCGTGTCCTCTCGGCGTCTCTCAATGGAGCCGATGAGTCCAGGGTGCTTCGGGGGAGAAAAAAAATGTGAACACTTCTGAGAATAAAAATTAGCAATCTTTGGAAGAACGTAATCAACCAGGTAGGGTGTTGAATGTTACGTTCGCCAACTCTCTGTGTTGTATTGCATTGTATTTCTGAGTTTACGAGATTTGTTTTCTCTTTCATTTGTACCTGACGATGATTGCTTGCGTTGCAATCGAAACGTCGTATCCTATTATTTAATTCATTTTTTTCTTTCTACGTGACTTTACCGAAAGAACCAAAGAGTAACTTCTGGGAATGTTCGCAACAGCAGCCGAGGAAACGTGCTGCCTCCACGCGTTGACAACGACGACGAACAAGAGGGAGACTCTACGGCCTTTTGAAGCAATTAACGTTACGTTTGTTATCACGTCACAGTGTTTTCATCCGCTCTTTTTTTGTTGCCATGAAAACGATAGTTCCATACACGTCGTTAACATTTTTTTTGTTTGAAGCAACCCTGCATTATTTGGGGTCCTTTGTCAGTCCACGGCTGTGAATGACTGTCTGCCCTCGCCGCCCCGTACGCCCTCGTCACTTCGTGCAAAATAACCCGTGCGGGATGACCCGTGCAAAATGACCCGTGCGGGATGACCCGTGCGGAATGACCCGTGCGGGATGACCCGTGCGGAATGACCCGTGCGGAATGACCCGTGCAGAATTACCCGTGCGGAATGACCCGTGCAGAATTACCCGTGCGGAATGACCCATGCAGAATTACCCATGCAGAATGACCCGTGCGGGATGACCCGTGCGGGATGACCCGTGCGGAATGACCCGTGCGGGGTGACCCGTGCAGAATGACCCGTGCAGAATGACCCGTGCAGAATGACCCGTGCGGAATGACCCGTGCGGGGTGACCCGTGCAGAATTACCCGTGCAGAATGACCCGTGCGGAATGACCCGTGCAGAATGACCCATGCAGAATGACCCATGCAGAATGACCCGTGCAGAATGACCCGTGCAGAATGACCCGTGCGGAATGACCCGTGCGGGGTGACCCGTGCAGAATTACCCGTGCAGAATGACCCGTGCAGAATGACCCGTGCGGGATGACCCGTGCGGGATGACCCGTGCAAAATGACCCGTGCAGAATGACCCGTGCGGAATGACCCGTGCAGAATGACCCGTGCGGAATGACCCGTGCAGAATGACCCGTGCGGGATGACCCGTGCGGAATGACCCGTGCAGAATGACCCGTGCGGAATGACCCGTGCAGAATTACCCATGCGGGATGACCCGTGCAAAATTACCCGTGCGGGATGACCCGTACGGAATGACCCGTGCAGAATGACCCGTGCAGAATGACCCGTGCAGAATGACCCGTGCGGAATGACCGGTGCGGGATGACCCGTGCGGGATGACGGGAGGCAGAGACAGCGTCGGAGGCGTTGAAGTGCTGCACAACGGCCTCTTTCGCTTCGCGCCGCGGTATATACAAGAGGCGACGTTTCGGCCAATGGCCCTTCTTTGTAGCACACACATAGAGAGCCAGAGTGGACGATAAGAGTTGCTGACTGCACGTGTTTACACCATGGGACCCTGATGAGATTTACATTTTTTAAACATGGCCTCTCTATGTACCTGCTATGTGAAGTGGGGACATTGCCCGAAACGTCGCCTATTATATATACACCGTACGGCTAGACGGTGGGTGACCGCGTGACCGCGTGCGTCTCTGGGTGTTGAGTCTGCAGGGTCCTCCCCATGCCGGCACTGCTCGACTCAATTGGTGCTGCTCGTGTTGCTGCTGCAGTTGCCACACGAGAACGTTGCTGATGATGCTGCTGCTGCAGTTGCCACACGAGAACGTTGCTGATGATGCTGCTGCTGCTGCAGTTGTCACACGAGAACGTTGCTGATGATGCTGCTGCTGCTGCAGTTGTCACACGAGAACGTTGCTGATGATGCTGCTGCTGCTGCAGTTGCCACACGAGAACGTTGCTGATGATGCTGCTGCTGCTGCAGTTGTCACACGAGAACGTTGCTGATGATGCTGCTGCTGCTGCTGCAGTTGCCACACGAAAACGTTGCTGTTGTTATTGATGCTGCTGCTGTTGTGGTTGTTATTCTTGTTGCTGTTATTGTTGTTGCTGCTGTTGTTGCTGTTATTGTTGTTGTTATTGTTGCTGCTGCTGTCGCTGCTTTTCCCGGTGCTGTTGCCCGTCGCCACGAATGCCCGACGCCAGAGTGTCCAATCAATATTGCTCCACCTCCTGCTGCTGCTGCTGTACGTATCGCGAGTGGTGGTGTCGACCCGTCATCGTGACCCCGCCGCCGCCCCGAGACCGTCCCGACGCCACGGACCGCGAGCTCTGAGCCCGCGAGCCGGCGGCGCGCCTCTGCGCGAGGTTCTGCGAGATGGAGCGCTGCAGGTTGCGGTGGGACGACGCGGACGACGCGGACGACGCCGCTGGACGGCAGCCGCCCGCGGGCGAGGGGTCGACCGCGGCGGTGGCGGCGGCGGCGGCGGACGCGGCGGCGTGACCGTCCGTGGCGGACGTCGAGGACGAGACGGAGGAGGGCGACACGGCGCACGCCACCCAAGGGTGACGCAGTGCCTGGGCAGCCGAGAGTCGCTCGGTCGGCTCCACCTTCAGCAAGCCGTCGACGAAGTCCTTGGCCACGTTGGACACGCTGGGCCAAGGCTGCGGGTAGAGATGGACAAGGTGTGTGTGTGTTGAACTTCTTTCGCACCGTACGTAGCCAACCGTGCTCATCGGCGGTGCGGGGGAAGGACAACAAACTGGACACTGAACAGGATTATAGAGACAAAGAGAAAGGTCCCTCCCCTTCGCCGATTAGCATTTTTCGTTTGTTGAGGCAAGTGCTGTTTTGGTCTATATATATAAAATATATTTTAATTTATATATATAGAAATATATCAATACATTTACATATACTTATACATATATTATATTGGTATTTATAAATATGTATTAAAACAAAAAGAGATTTTGCATAGGTTAGAACATCGCGTTTGCAGGGGTGTCTAGGCTGGCTACACACACACCACACACACACACACCACACACACATCACACACACACACCACACAAACAGACCACACACACACCACACACCACACCACAGACACCACACCACACACACCACACACACACCACACACACAACCAGACACACACCACACATACGCCGCACACACGCACACCGCACACACAACCACACACACACACCACACACACCCCACACACACACCAGACACACACACCACACACACACACCACACACACACCACACACACCACACCACAGACACCACACCACACACACCACACACACCACACACACACACCACACACACACCACACACACACCACACACACACCACACCACAGACACCACACCACACACACCATACACACCAGACACACACACACCACACACACACACCAGACACACAAACCACACACACACCACACACACACCACACACACCACACACACCAGACACACACACAACACACACACCACACACACCACACACACACCACACACAACACACAAACCACACACACACTACACACACACCAGACACACACACCACACACACACCACACACACACACAAACACACCAGACACACACCACACACACACACCACACACCCCACACACTTACCACACACACCACACACACACCACAACAACAACCGCCATTCGCCACTAAGTGGCAGTGACGTCACCACGACGCTTGTGCCAGGCCATGTGCACCTTGAGGCCACGTGAAGTGTCGAACGCCCGCGGGCAGGAGGTCACAGGGCAAACCCAGATGCCACGGGTCGACTGACTGAAATGACTGGCTGGTGCACCACCTGTGCCCCTACTGTGCCAACCTTCTGTGCGTTAGCCACCCGGCGCTTCGCTCGTTGTTGTGAGCGTCGCTCCTCCGCCCTCCGTTGTTGTTGGAGGGCGACTGCCGCCAACTGCCCAATAGCGTCCTTCACGGGCCTCCTCCACAGAGGCCGATCTTGACACCGCTGGTACCAGTCAACGGCAAGTCTATTCAGCTCCACGTCCTCCTGTACCACATCACTCCATCTCTTCTCTAACCCGTGCCGCGCCCGTTTAGCCCCCTCGATCCGGCCGAACAAAAGCTGTTTCGGCAAGCGGTTGCTGGGCATGCGGGCTACATGACCCAGCCAACGCAGCCTTGCCTGCCGGAGGAGCTCACCGATGGGACTTTGCCCAGATTTTTCAAGAATTTTTGAGCTCCTCACACAATCCAGCCTGGTTAAACCCAGGATGGATCGTAGGCAGGCTAGCCTAAATGTTTTCAACCGGCGAAGATGCTCCATTAAGGGGGTCCACGTTTCGCAAGCGTAGAGAAGGGAGGGAATGACTCTAGCCGAGAAGACCTGAAGCTTAGTGCGGAGCGACTTACCAGGTAGCTTCCACACAGCGTTACGCAACCGATGAAAAGATATTGCCGCTCGACTGATTTGGAGTGAGACCTCTGCTGTTAAACCGGAGCCGGTCATAAGCACACTGCTCAGGTATGGGAAACTCTCCACTGTCTCCACAACTGCCCCATCGCCGATTGGGAGTTGTGAGGGTGGAGTGTCCGATGGTACAAAATACCCAGGCAGGTGCTAAGTTTTGGTGGGGCTGATGGTAAAGCCCCATCTCTTAGTGGAACGCTCGAGTCTCAGCAGCAGCGTCTCCAACTCCTCCTCTGAATGAGCAGCTATTACCAAATCATCAGCATACATAACGTCGTTGAGTAATAGGGAGCCATCCCTTGACCGCACCCAGGCATCGATCAGCCTCCCATTATATCTGTACCAAATTGAGATTCCACCGGTACAGCTATTGAAGGCTTCATGAACTACGTGGTCAAAATAGATGTTAAATAATGTGGGAGCCAGAGGACATCCCTGTCGCACCCCAAGGTGTACAGGGAATGGCTCTGACTCCCGGCCACGTAGTTTTACCCGGGCCCGCTCACCATCATGAAGGTCCTTAATGATCGTGAGCAGAGGGTCAGGGACTCCAAAAGCATGAAGAACAACACAGAGCCCAGGCCTACTGATGGTATCATAGGCCTTGACCAGGTCAATAAAGCAGAGATGTAGGTTTTGTTGGAATTCCCTACACCTCTGCTGTAGCAGACGGACAGAAAATATGGCATCTGTGCAGGACTGCCCTTTCCTGAATCCGCATTTGGGCTCCGCAAGCCTCTCCTCAGCGTGCCTGGCAAGGCGATGTTGAATAATCCTTGCCAGGACCTTTCCCGGCACACTGAGGAGTGAGATGCTCTTGTAGTTGTTACAGTCTGTGCGGTCCCTCTTCTTAAAGAGGGGGACCACCAGGGCATCCTTCCAATCCTGCGGAACCCGTCCAGTGGTCCAGACTGTTGTTATGATGTCATATAGGGCAGTCTGTGCACAAACGCCACCCTCCCTCAGCATTTCGCTTGGGTGAGCATCTCTGCCCGCTGCCTTTCCTCGTCTCAAACTTTGGATCGCCTTGAGTACTTCCTCAACAGATGGTACTTCAGCCAGCCACACACAGGGGGTGACTTCTTCCAATATTTGAGGTACCGCAGCCTCAGCAGGGTCATCCTCACTTTGTGCTACGATGTTTTCCTGGCTGAGGGATTTTCCCTCTCCCAGGACCTCACAGAAATGCTCAGCAAATCTGCAAACCTGTTCCTGGGGGTCGGAGATTGGATCACCGTTTTTTCCCCTAATGATGGTAATAGGTGCGGCGCTGCAGGTTACTTTTTTGATGGAGTTAAATAGAGTTTTGTGATCGCGGGCTTCTGAGGCAGACTCCATCTCATCAGCATACCGCGACCACCACCCATCCTTGCAGCGCCTCACGGCTCTCCAAACCTCCGATCGAAGGCTGCGGTAAGCCTCCTCATTCTCTGACGTGGGATTCTGTAGCCGATGAGAGTGGGCCTGTCGCTTTTTCTCAACCATCCTGAACACCTCCTCTGCCAGCCAGTGTCTTTGGGGAGGTCTGGACCGCGTACCCAAAGCAGCCATTGCAGCTGCATGAGTCACAGTCCTAAACCTCGCCCATTTACCCTCAACATCAGGAGGAGTGGGGGACGATGCCAACCCCAGCCGCAAGCGATGATGAAATTCTCGCTTGCAACTTTCATCAGATAACTGAGACCAGTCCACTTTAGGTTGGAATGGGGTCCTGGGTGTATACCCACCACCGGAGTGGAAGAATGGCAGGCGCATCTTACAGATGACTAGTCGATGGTCAGAGGGAGATCAGCTCCACGGTAGGTCCTGGTGTCAATGGCATGGGCTCGCATCCGCTGGTCCGTCAATATGTAGTCCAGCAGATGTTCTTGCTTGGACCCGGCATGCATCCATGATGTTGTGTGGATGCGCCGATGCCGGAACAGCGTGTTGGTAATTACAAGCCGCACACAAATCTAGCAGCCTCCTACCGTTGTTATTGAGCTGATCTCGCCCATGCCCTCCAATCACCCCAGACCAGGTGCCAGCATCATGACCAACTCGGGCATTGAAGTCACCCAACAAGATGACTCTATCCCAAGGGGCCACTTTAGCCAGCACCTGTGACAGGAGGTCATAGAAGGCATCTGACTCATCGGCTTTGCCTGCATCTCTCCACGGATGTTCGTCTTCGGTGGGGGCATAAGTAACCACGACCACCACTCCTCGCCTCCGGTTGATGGGAAGGCGAGCCCAAAGTAGCCTGGGGCTTACAGCTTCCCACACCTCACCGCCACGCTCCCACGCCCCCTTCATTCTTTTGTTCAAAAGAAGAGCCACACCCTGTTGTTTGGCAGTCTGCTGCCCCGAGTAGAGGACAGTCCACCCCTCATGGTGGCAGGAGCCAGAACCGGTCCACCGGACCTCCTGAATGCCACAGAGATCCAGGCGGTACCGGTCCAGCTCCCGACAGAGCAGTGGCAGCCTCTCCTCCGCAGTGAGCATTCGAACATTCCACGTGGCCATCCGTAGTGGCTTTTCGGTGTTTTCTGGAGGAGCCCCGTGGGTAGAGATTCAATCTCCTGGCTCCGCCAAATGGGGTTTGGCCAGGAGACGTCATAGACGCCTGTCCCCCCGGGGCCTCCGGCACATGCTTATTAGTTACATATTTTATTCGTGGTTTAGTGGTAATTTATTGAAGGTGGAGGGGTTACCAGCCCCTCGCACCCGTCCAGAACCCCCGTTTAGCCACTGTGGTGGTCACAGACGCCATGAGGGGAGGAACCAATCGGACGCCATGAGGGGAGGAACCAATCGGAATTGGCCCTCCCCCCACAGCACTGTCCACAATAGAGTTGCCCGTCCGGCACCGCGAGGAGGTAGGGGGTTGCCACACACACCAAGCACACACCACACACACCACACACAACCACACACACACCACACACACACCACACACACACGCCAGACACACACCACACACACACCACACACACCACACACACCACACCACACATACACAGGGGAGGAGAGGGGGGTAGGGAGTGAGAAGTGGGGATGGAGGGGAGGGAATAGGTGGAGGTGAAGGGGTACGGTGAAGGTGCAGAGAGGTACAGAGGAGCAGTCTGGGGGGGTCGGAAAGAATTGTGCAAAGTGTGGTGCGGGATGGGTGGAGGACCGCGATCGATGAGCACTAGGGTGTGCTGTGTGTGTGTATGGTGTGTGTTGTGTGTGTGTGTGGTGTGTGTGGTGTGTGTGGTGTGTGGTGTGTGTGTGGTGTGTGTGGTGTGTGTGTGTGTGGTGTGTGGTGTGTGTGTGTGTGGTGTGTGTGGTGTGTGTG